GTCTTTAGACAGTCATCATGTCAAACAGTAACGCATGCAGGGACAAAGACAGACTAAGCAGTGTCCACTCAGCACTTCTCCACTTCTGCAGTCAGTTCCTTGACTTGAAAGTAGAGAACAGGACTAACAGAGGGAAAAGCAAGGCACTGATGGTCAGATGCTCAAGTAAGCCAGGCTCAGCCAACTCCAGCGTCCCAGCCAGAAGGAAGCTTGAATATCTCTTGAAATATATCTCCAGCTATTGAAGAGTAGTAGTCCATGGCCCATACAAAACAGCTCAATCAACAATTCCCCTTATCTAACCCTCTAAGATAGGAAAAACATGGAAAACAGGGGAGAAATGTACTCTCACATCCAACTGGAATGTCCAGTCTCACATCCCCATTAACATTAAACCAACCTCTAGTACCTCAGACTCCTAAGTCAGCATGTTCTAGATAGTCAGCCAGGTAAGGTATAAGCCTCCTTCAGAAAACCATGCCATTAGGTCAGTCCCAAGGTGTCCTGTAAATGAACATTAGCAAGACTGCTTTCTCTATGGGTAACTGATATCCAAAAGAAATTCAATTATACAGTGTTATTTCCACTCATTCTTAGAAATCAAATGTTTAGAGCTGGGGATGTAGCTCAGTAGTTGAGCGTTTGCCTAGCATGCACAAGCTCTGAGTTCAATCCCCAACACTGTCAAAGGAAGGGAAAAAAGAAATCCAGATGTTTAAAAAGAAATCTCAGCAATCATGGGATGGCTAGTGTGGTACAAACAACTACAGGGAGTGGCTCAGGATGGAAGATTCAGTCAGTAAAGAGAAACACAAACCATTATTATCCATTTTGGTCAAGCAAACCAGAATGGCTATACCCTTCTTGTTTTTCACCAAAGACCCACCCACAAGTACCTTCAGACACTGGCATAAAGTCTGTATTTTGAAACATTTTTGGTAGGCCCACAAAATGCAAAGAACCAAAATGGTTAGCCTTGAATTTACTTTGTCTAATTACTAACTCTGGCTTCCAGCTGGAATAACACATGATGTCACTGATTCTGTGTCAAGCCCAGTTTAAGAGCAATAGCTTACACAATCTACATATTTGACTTTCCTTTTCTAACCAGGTGCTTGACACAAATTCATCCAGCACCCTTCACAGGGGAAGAAGTAGTTTATGGGTATTGCTTTCTCTGTCTCTGTCTCTCTGTCTGTCTATCTCTCTGCCTCTCTGTCTCTCTCTCTCTCATCATTCAAACATGCAATATTAAAACAAAATATTCTGCAAGAAAAAAGTGAAATCAAGATGATAAAAATTCTTATGGAGGGATATGTAAAGTCTCATAAGGATCAATTAAACATTTCTAAGAAATAAAACTCAAGATGAAAACCTAACTTGAATACCAAACTTATATATCAAGGATCAAGAAAAATTAGTGAGAAAAAATGCATTTCTATGATTTTAGTACTGATAGAGAAAGTTATCAATTTAAATGCATATTAAGTGAGCATTTTATAACTGAGTCATGCCATCTCTATTGTGTTTCAGAAACTTTTTACCCTCATATCTGCAAACAAGTAAGAGAGGGGCATGAGAACCATTCTGATGCTTTACCCCAGGACAAATGCTCCAGGAACACGGAGTAGTGAACAGCATGACTTCAGTATCAGACACACTGGCTTTTAGCCTGCCTCTGATACTTACAGTAGGATCATAGTCAAATGCATAAATTTTCCAACCTCTACCATACAGTTCTTAAATTTAATTTATTGGCTCAAGAAATTCACTTAAAAATTGGTTGGTCAGAGAAACAATAGTATTAATGCAGCACTTGATACTCAGGCCAATCTACAAAATCCTGTTTGGTCCTACAAGGCACAAATAGTTCTAATGTACTGATATCTAATTCATATTACAAAATAAGTTGGCCATCCATGTTTCAGCTTCATAACTTCACTGTCCAGCAGGCAGCATGTGCTCAAGAGATGGTTATTATGTGGAATGAATCATAATACATTCTTTTGGAAAAGGCTTTTCAGCTTTTCCTTTGACCATGACACCTTTCTTGGCAAAAAAACTGGGGAGCCTCTCAGGGAAAAGAGAAAGTGATGTAGAGATTTATATTTCTGAGAACAAGTAAAATTTATTATCCTATCTATAAGTGAGAGAGTTTCCCCAGGTATTCTGAATTGTCAAAAAGGGGGAAGACGAAGGTCCTGTCACTAAAAGTAGAGTCATAATAAGGGTCTGATCTGAGGAACCAGCATTTTAGGTAACTCAGATCTCTGTAATTCCTTAGACTTCTTAGCCATTCTGACTGCTTATTTAATTCCTAGTAAATATTCTTCATTAGAGACTTTTTCAATAAATTCTTTGTAAATTTTTTAAACCCCAACAACCTTATATTGCACTAGGACAAGTAAATCTTTATCTACTGTGAAGATACTCATTTATATTTTATGAATATACAGATAGAGGCCAGACTGGGGGATTTCTGCATGGAAATCCCAAGAGGAGAGGGTGGACTGCCACTACTGTGAGCCAAGTTGACTTGCTATTGGGGGACTAGGAATCAGAGAGCCTCTATTCCTTGTCACAGGCAAGCCCCAGCCAGAGCAGACTCCCATGAAAATGCAAGACAGCTTGCTCTAAAGAAGAGTGGAGAAGGAAGCAGCAACTACCACCCAGTGACAGCAGATCCCAACCCCAGAGAGTAAAACACAGGTACAGCAGTGCCCTGAGGAGGGCCTCCCCCAGAAGAGGAAAAGCAAAGGTGAGCCTGCTCAGTTAAGCCCTCTGGCTATCTAAAATTTACCAGCCAGATAAAATACCACTGTCACCAGGACAGGGAGGAATAGAAAGTCAGAGAGGCCAAAAGTATGCCTAGGAAAACCCTTCTGCATGGAAATCCCAAAAGGAGAGAGTTGTTTCCCCCTGATGCTTGCTTCTGCAGTTATTTTTTGGTGTAGTTTTGTGAAAAGCTTATTCCATAATTTTCCCTCTTAGAAAAAATCCTGTCAAATTCTCTCTCTCATCTATAAACAGCACCTAGGTTTGACATAGATCATCTTTTTGCCGCTTTCCTCACTCTCTATTCAAATGATATTGTATATATGTTTGTAAGTGACAACACCCCATGCTGAGTGGTTCAGGATACCATGGCCTTTGGCCACATAGAACCAGACTGCTAGAAACTTCTTCACAGAAAAACTCAGTCCTAATTATTATAAATGGCTAAAAACAAGGCATTATAAAACAGGGCCTCCCAAGGGGTGGTGAAGCCAGAGCATGCTAAAATGAGCCACTATACTTCCAAGCTGAGCCTTATGGCTTGAAAGGTAATAGAAGTAGAGAACTCAGATGGCAAAACCCACTAATCTACAATAGAACTAGCAGACATACTATTATTTCATTTAGGTAAACTTTGTTTCAGAAAGAGGTAATCTAAAATGTAATTTTTTTTAAATGCTACTATTAAAAACTACTTTGACAACTAAAAAAATAACATGCCTATTTTACATTGCAAAGACAAATACAATTTAAAACTAAAGCACCATTATACCTGAATAATATTGGATGGTTTTTATACTTTACTTCTTACTTAAAACCCATCTTCCAACATGGATTTTTATGTAAAATAAAAATTTTGCCTTCAGAAATAAGTGGAAATGGTAATATGTATATATTTACAAAGCATGTGCTTTAGAAAGTATAAACACAGCTGTTTCCTTCACTCCATAGTTTGCTAGCATTTTATAGCCACAATAAATTATATTACACTCAATAAAAGCTTTTCCCTGTGACAATCAGCATAAAAACATCAAGTATACATTGAAGATTTAATGAAAAATATTGGTAAACATTATTGGATAGTAAATATAAAAAGATAGAAACATTTTTCTAGTGACAGACTCATTCCCCCTCAATAAATTTTAATTAAGGAAAACAAAATCTAGATGAGAATATATTAAAGACATTACTCACATAAAATAGGCTGGCATTTTAGGTAATTTTGGCCCAGCTAAAAGAATAAGTAATAATAATTACCATATTCTGAACACATACCATATGCCTGCCAGCTATTAAACTTAGTGATGTTGTCATATAATCTCATTCAATCCTGACGATAACACTGAGAAAGATTCTTTATTCACATTTAGAGGAAGAAATGAACCCAAACTTTCTTGCTATATTATAAAAAAGGAATTCTTCATATCCTTAACCGCAAAATAAGTAAATGTGTACTCTGGTTAAAGAAAGAAAAACTGTAGTAACAAGAAGTTCTGGTGTGCTATTGCACAGTAGTGTTACTGTATGTAGCAATAATGTGCTGCATATTTCAAAAAGCTAGAAGAGACAATTTTGAGAGTTTTCACCATAAAGGAATCATAAACATTTGAGTAGAAAGAAATGCTTAATCAGATTTCGACACTAAACAATGTATATATAGATGCATAATTTTTCTGGGGTGTGTGTGTGTGTGTGTGTGTGTGTGTGTGTGTGTGTGTGCAGTACTACGGTTTGAACTCAGGCCCTTGCACTTGGCAGTCAGGTGCACTACCACTTGAGTGAACACCCTTAACTTTTTTTGGCTTTAGTTATTCTATGGACAGAGTCTTACTTTTTTGTCCAGGTCAGCCTGGACCACGATCCTCCTATCAATGCTTCCTGCATATCTAAGGCTACAGGCATGCATCTAGCTATTGGTTGAGATGGGATCTTGCCAACTTTTTTACCCAGGCTAGCCTCGAACCCCAATCTTCCTGATATCTAACTCCCACAGTAGCTGGGATTATGGACAGGAGCCACCGTGCCCAGTTAATTTTTATGTTTTTACGTATTAGTTAAAAATAAACTTAATTTAAATAAATAAAAAAATCAATGCATTGCTCTAATTGTAAATTGAAGAAATAAAAGCAATGTAAAACAATTAAAAGAAAGCAAAGCTGCTTTGTGAACACATTCATTAACCACATCAAAAATGCATCTGTGTTCAGGTTAAACTTGTTCATTTTTTAAACAGAAAGAGAATCATTTGGTAATTTGTACATATATACTAAATGCCTAAAATACTACCTTGGAGATAAAAAGAGTGAAAAAGAGTCATGAACACACTTATTTCCTTTGTCCTTTTAAAATTTATCCACTGCTTATAAATTTAGATTTTTCTGAAATAGTTTCTCCTTTGAGTACACAATGTTCACTTTCTTCATTAAATCTCTAAATCGAGCACGTTCCAGAGCCTGAGTTGCTAACTCCACACTAGGTCACCAAAGCACCACTAGCCGGCAAGTAGCAGTGAGAAGAAATGCCATAACCTACTTTGAATTGCAGATTTCCAAGACTGAGTTCCTTTTCTTAACCAGGGTTGTCTATAATGGTACTTAGGCCATAAGTCATCATTGAGGTTTCAGTGATGGAGACCTGGTAGAAAGTGGTGGAAATGAGTCTCCAAAGAAATAAACAATTCTCACTGCTGGCTAAGATTTCTCAGTGGTGTTTGAACCCTTGGGAAAAACTAAACGTTGCCTTCATGCTGAAAATAAACTCAAATGCTCCATTTCCTAACCAAAGTCTGCAAAAGGGACAGCTGACCATATATTATGACTTGTTACACTAATGGATGAGTGTACACTATACAAAATAAGCACATTCATAAACAGAAGGCAATTACAACGGCCAGTTTATAAGTTTGCATATGCTAAAACACAAACTTGTTAGAACCCAGAAATGACTGAGAACAGAGTGCTAGCTAGAATGATATGCATTATGATCAAAACAGAATTTTAGTATTTCAAATGTTTACTTTTTTCCCCAGCTTCTTTACTCCTTTTCCATTTTCTGAAGGAAGCATAAAAAATTCCATCACCACATCTAATAGTTTAATAGTCTAATATGAAATTATAAATATAAGATGGCTTAGAATTAATATTTTGTGGTTTCTTCAGAAACCTCTAATAAGTTGACAGATTGTCATTCTTAGAAGAAAATCTCTATCTTGTCTTGTCTGGAAACACTTTGATTTGATTCTGGAGCTTGCAGCCCCACCTTAGAGGATATCCAATAGTAGGCAGCAGCAGGGGAGGAGATGATCCATGCAATAGGGCAGGGAGCAGGAGGGAGGTTGTGACAGTGGCTTAGAGCAGGTTTTCAGAGCAAAGAGGATGTCCCCAGGAATAGGTGACAGCGGTCCAGTGCAGGATGTCAGAACCAAAGCAAGGTAAGAAGATCATCTATGCACAAGGGCTGGCAGGGTAGAGTATGTGTTGTTGGATCCAAGCAGAGATGGTGGGGTATCCATGTGGAAAATGGCAGAAGAGAGGTCCCAGTGTAGGGTATCAAAACCTGAGCAAGGAGAGGAAGGTGTCCAAGTGACTACTTGGGACCAAGGGTAGTAGAGAGGACAGGGGGTAGGGAGAGGTACAGAGAGAGGAGAGCAGGCAGCAGCAGCCATGCTTCGGTTGCCAGAAGCAAAAGGGATCCATGCAGAGATTAGGGAACAGCAACATCCCAGAACAGAGTGTCAGAGCCTGAGAAAGCGAGGACATCCAAATAGAAGTGGCAACGGCAATGACATGGCATACAGTGTCAGAGGCTGCAGAGTAAGGAGGGATCTGTGCCATGAAGCAGCAGTGGGAGTGTGGTGTGGGGGCTGGAGCATAAGAAGGAGGAGGGTACCCATGCAGGAGGCAGAGGCAGGGATAGCACAGTGTGAGACCTCAGATTCTGGGCAAGCTGAGAAGGACATCGCATGGGGATGCTTCAACACAGCCATGATGCATGAGTGTCAGAGAACATCTGTGTGGGCTTGGCCATGGCCTATGGCAGGAAGTACCCAGATAACAGAGGGCATCCACTGGAACAGGCAGCAGCACTAAGGGAAGCCTGGTTACTTACAGAGGGGAGATTTATTTATATGTTCAGGATAATGGGAGACAGGTTCCTTGGGAACACTTGCCAGAGAAGGAAGTCACAAATACAGAAAGAGAGAAAACTCAAATGAACCTTATGGCACTAGGTTAGAATTGTGATATTTGTATGGACTCATGGCTTTTAAGCGTGATAAAGATACAGACAAAAATATAAATAATAATTAGTAAATCTATATTCACTGTGAGACATTTTTAAAAACAAATGCTATCAAAAGATAAATCAAGGATAAGAAACTAAAGAGATTACAGTTTTGAATCACCCAATTATTAATGGTTATTCATGATATTTTTGTTATTATTAATATAAACAACACCACAATAGGTCCAGGTGATTCTTCAAGTATATTTGCTTTCAAGCAATTGGTAAGTCCTTTCTTTCTTTCTTCTTTCTTTTTTTTGTGGCAGTACTGTGGTATGAACTCAGGGCCTCATACTTGCTAAGCAGGCATTGTTCTACCACTTCAGCCATACTCCCAGCCCAATTATTCCTTTCTTAGACAAATAATTCCAGAGAACAGAAAAAGTGAAACTTATCCTGATTTTACCAAACTAGTAAAAACCTTGTTTTCAAAACCAGACAATGGTGGCACAAAAAAAAAAAATGCACTCTAATTTCACCTATGAGCATAAATGCAAATAGCTAAGGAAAGAGTAGTAGACTGACTCCAGCAATGTTTGTGTGGTATACCCTGTGTGTGTGTAAGATAAAGTTGATATTATCCCAAGAATGCAATGATGATTATTTAACACTTAAAAATTGCAAATGCAATACTTCACATTAACACCTTAAGGGAGGAAAGTGAAATGGCATTCCAAGTAAGCATTCAATAAAATTCAACACTAATACATGATTTTAAAACAAAAGCAAAAACTTTAGCAAACTAGGATTAGGAAGGAACTTCCTGAGAGCTGATGGGGTGGCTCAAGCAGTAGAGTACCTGCCTAGCAAACGTGAGGCCCTGAGTTCAAATCCCAGTGCCTCCAAAAAAATAAAAAATAATAATACGAAATGCAAAAGATAAAGAATATTAACTAGCCTATATTAAAATTGCAACATTTTATATAATAAAATATGTAAAAATTAAAGTCAAATGCCAAACCACAAACTGAGAGGTGTTTGCATAATAGAACTTTAAAAGTTAAATATTCTGTTACCCAATAGATAAAAAATGGGCAGAGACAAAAAATGGTTCTGGGGAAGGAAGAAGATCATAAGAGTTTAGTATCAAGAGTGCTTCATCTTTATCTCTAGTTTCATTTCTTTTGGGCAGGGCACTGGGGTTTGAACTCAGGGCCTCACACTTGCTAGGCAGGCACTCTGACACTTGAGCCACTCCTCCAGCCCTAATTTCATTTCTTTAATGAAAAATAATCTAAGATAAATATGGGGGAAATGATAAGTTGTATTGAGTCTATGTGGAGAGTACATAGGAAATTGTGTTTTATGTAAGTAAAAAAATACCTCATGATTTTTAAATTCTTTATTGTTTATACCTTATAATATAAAAATATAAAATATTACAGTTTCCCATGAAAATATAAGTTCCTATCCTACACACAAATCTCTGCCTAAACACTACAAATGGAGTTCCCCACTCTTCATCGTTTGCTAAACATCACTTCAAGGCATATGCTCTCTATTGTTTAAGCTAGGTGGTGTCATAGAAAGGTAAACAGCAGTAGTCTTTTACAAGAAAAGTTGCAAGGATCAAATAAAGATGTCATGAAATCAAGAAAAGTCCAAATGGCATAAAAGTGAAATAAGGTTTTCAAAAGTTAGTCTAATATTCAAAAAAAATCCATTTTTAGTATTCAGCAAGAAGCCAAAGATGTCACTGTTAAAAATTTTATAAAACAAGTGTAGAAACAGTTTCCACTTGAATTTTAATTTGGGGGCACTTAGACAATTCAACACACAGTACATGTCAACAATACGATTAATGACTAAGACTATAACAAATATCAAAGTGTTTCTCTGAAACCTAAACTTTAATTATTAATTTTCCAACAAGTTTCCACAGCAACATACCTGGAGGAGGAGCCTTTCAAATGCCAGAAAGTTGTCCCACTTGGCAGTCTGCGGGTGTTTCAAAGTTTGAACTGTGGCCAGCCCAAGCTGTAGGAGCCCACAATGGTTCACTAGAGCTTTTATGTTGTTCTTGAAGAGTTGAATATAGGATGTGAGCTGCCCTGGTGTGACTCTCCCTGAAGAAACATAACAATTTATCAATAGTAAAAATTATGAGATGGATGCCATGAACACTGAATACTACTGCCTTATCTTTGCACAGAACTTCAGAGTTGCTGCACGCTTTCTTAAACTGTTGTGCTCTTTCAACAAAACAGTGACAATAGCAAGTTGATACTAAAAGAAGCTGTTCAGGAACCTGGCCAAGGTCATATTTCTAGTAGAATTCATTTTATAATTTTGTAATACCCCATAAACAAGTTTTCAAATAAAGTCACACGAGTAAATATTTGTTGAATTCAAGCTGAAGTACCAATTCATGACATGATACAGGAATTAAAGAACCAAAAAAGCAAGATTTCTAGTTGGCATATGTACACATATGCAAATAAGAGGAGGAATCTGTTATGACTACTGTAAGACTTAAGCATTGATATTAGTGGTTTTACAATATTCATGAAGCTCAAAACTGCCTGTTACACATAGAAAAATACACATTTTTCCAGTAGCAAAAACAATAGAAGAGACATCAGAGAAAGAATTTGTTATGGAACATGGCACATTTGCTAAAATGATCACCTAGATTTAGAACAGGACAATCCACCTGAAAAGGTCAGAGGTTAAGCAACACACATATGCAGACACCCGCATACACACACACACACACACACACACACACACACACACACACACACAATTTGTGGATTCAATCCTTCAGAGACCTGAAGTGAACAGCAGCGCTTTGACTGACTCACATCCAGCTCACCAATCTGTTACATTTCAGCCCTGACATTCATCAGTGCTTTGCAATAGATTCTCCCCATCAGGCAAAAAGAAGGCCATGGGGCACACATAGCTGCAACCCCAAAAAATCATTTCTACACATCCCATCCATGCCATGTCTATAGGTTGCTCTTTGACACTGAAATTAGAGTTTGTTATTATATCTAGATCTTTAAATACAGGCAATGAAACCACCTGAATTTATTTAATGCTTTACAGTTTATAGGTGCTTACAAAGACATGTCCTCTTAGCCAGGCATGGTATTTCATGCCATTAATCCCAGCACTCAGGAGGCAGTATCAGTAATATCTCAAATTTGAAGCCAGCCTGAGCTATATGCTGTGATCCTGCCTCAAAAATAAACAAATAAATAAACACACCTTCTTTTGATTGTCATGGCAACTTCATGAGGCAGCAAACGAGGATATGATGCCTCTGTTTGCCCCACCTGAGGCACTATAAACTTAGTTTTCCAAAGTCGTAGATAATAGATATATCACTTAATAAATGGCCTAGGCAAAAGATACACAAAATAAAAACCTTTCCATAGGAAACTTAAAAGTCTGCAAGGTTTCTATTTTTTTCATTAAATTTTTTAAAGAGATTAAGAATTTTGAAGTTCCTTCTTTCCAGTTTATCAGGGTAAGCATCTAAAGAAAAGAATAGTAGCCTGGGCATAGTGGCTCATTCCTGTAATCCCAGCTACTTGGGAGGTGGAGGTAGGAGGATGGTTGTCCCAGGCCAACCCAGGAAAAAGCAGATGATCCTACCTAAAAACAAACTACAAAGCAAAAAGACTTGGGCATGGCTCAAGTGATAGAGCATTTGCCTAGTAAACATGAAGCCCTGAGTTAATCCCAAGAACTGGAGGAGAACAGCAACAGCAGCAGCAGGAGTGATCAAGTAGAGAAGTGAGTCTCACTAGTTTCCTTGGCAAAACAATGGCTCATTCCTGGTTCTCAAAACAGCAATTTTCCTCCTCCAGTACTAATAGAAAAAAGTCTCATTTACATTTTCTTTCCTTGTTTTCTTAGATAGGTTTACTAAAGTATTACATACACATAATAAAATTCACACTTTTCAGGTATAGAGTTCAATCAGTTTTGACAAATGCAAGCAGATAACCACTTCTACAATCAAATACAGAGCATTTCCATTACTCCAAAAAGATCCCCTCCTTGTAGTCAATTCTGTCTCCCAGCTGTATCCCTTGGTGAACACTTACCTGCCTTTATCTGATTTCTGTTCTGTGGTTTTCCCTTTCTAGAATGCCACAGAAACGGAATCACACAGATGCAACCATTTAAGTCTTGCTTCTTTCACTTTAGCTCAATGTATTTGCAACTCATCCATGTTGTTGCTTAGATTAATATTTTTCTCTTTTTTTCTTGCTAACAGTTCATTGTATAGCTAAACCATAGTTTATTTGGCCACTTATTGATCCATTTACCAGTTAATGATCATTTGGGTTGTTTACAATTTTTGGAAATAATGAATAAAGCATTCACAAACATCTGTGTACAAATTTTCATGTGTATATGAATATGTTTCCATTTTTCTTGGGTAAATTTCTAGGAGTAGGTTGTTGGGGTCATATGTAATTATAAGAAACTGTAACACTGACTTCCATAGTGGGCATCTCACGAGTAACATGTGGGCAGTTTACCTGCCTAACATCATTACCAGCACTTGATACTGTCACTGATTTTTATTTTAGCTATGCTAATAAGTATAAAGCAGTGTCTAACTGTGGTTTTAATTTGCATTTTTCTAATGAGTAATGAGGGTAAACATTTTTTCCTGTGCTTATTTGACACGAAATATGTTTTCAAGTAAAGTGTCTTTTCAAATCTTTTGCCCATTTCTTACTTGTTTTATTTCCTCATTATTGAGTTATATCATTAATTTCCATCAATTCATTGATTCAGTATACATTTTTCTATGCCAGGCACTATTCTTGCCCTTAGGAATAAACCCATGAACAAATACCAACAAAAATCCCTTCCTGGGACACTGTATTTGACCAAAAAGTAAAGAAGACTAACATCTCTGTGATGCTCCTAATTAATTCAACCTATTACATGTCATTCTCTCTTAAGTGATAAGGACCTTTTATGTAAATGATTAATATTTTTATGCCATGATATCCTCTAGTACTTATTATATCAAATATCTGAAAACAAATGGGCTAAAATCTTAAGACTACCAAGTAGTCTTATTTTGTTTTGTTTTGTTTTTTTCTTTCGCAATGCTGATAATGGAAGCCAGGGCCTCACATACACTAGGCAAGTGATCTACCACTGAGCCACTGCCCCCCATGTATTTGTTTATATGCTGTACTGCCAGTGATGCAACGGGGCTTCTGAACCTTCAGAGCCTATCAAAGGGACAGCAATTTAACAACCATACTAATAATCATTTAATCATGATAAATACTACTAAGAAAACACGTCTTGACCTAGCTACTCAGGAGGGAGAGATCAGGAGGATCATGGTTCAAAGCCAGCCCAGCAAACAGTTTGCAAGACCCTATCTCAGCAAAATCCATCACAAGAAAGGGCTGGTGGAGAGGCTAAAGGTATAGGCCCCGAGTTCAAACCTCAGTACCGCAAAAAAAAAAAGTCTTGAAAGTACAAAAGGTTGTATGTGGTACGAAAACTGCCTACCATCTCTACAAATGAAAGTGGAGAAACAAGGCTCAGGACACATATAATTCATTTTATAGAGAGTATAGGAAGTCATGAGCTTAGATTTCTGTTGTAATAACTGTACGTTTTGTGTGTGTGTGTGTGTGTGTGTGTGTGTGTGTGTGTGTGTGGTGCTGGAGTCAACCCCAGGGCTCACTCATGCTAGGCTAGCCCTCTACCACTGAGCCATACCTCTAGCTCCACCATATGTTCATTTTAAAGATGAGATCATCATGCTGAGTGGGGTAAGTCATGCTCAAAAGGCCAAATATTGAATGTTCTCATGCATTTGTGGAACCCAGACCTAAAATGATGATGATAATAATGGGAGAAGAATGCATACAGGAGACTGTCTGAGGGGATCAGTGAGGGGGGAAGGAAAGAATACTGAAGGATGAAGAGGATGGAAGTTTCCTTCATAGCTGCATACAAAGACAGCATAATGAAATCCACAAAACACTGTTGGAAAGAGCAGGGAAGTAGGAGAAGAGGAATGGTAATATAATGGGGAGGGTGAACTTATTCAAAGTACACATATATACATGTAGGGAATTCTCAAAATGAAATCCCCTCATATTAGTTATTAATGTATGATAAATCAAAATAAAAAATTCTTAGCTGGTTTGGGATTTTTTTTTTAAAAGAGGGTCTTCAATTAAAAAACATAGTCAATTTTTATTAACATATCATAGCTGAGACCCAGACTCAGTCACCATATTTATGCATAAGGCATATGATATAAAGGAACAAAATATGCATATTTCTTAATAGGAAATGCCAGCAGAATGCTACATTGTGTATGTAGCAGTTATTCACCATTGCTGCTCTAGTCTGTTTTCCTCTGCACAGTATATTTTTTTCTCATACACATGTGCCCCTATTAGATAAATAATGAGATATGTCATGGAAGCAGATTTTTCCCCTAATATCCATAATGTACTAATTGGAATTCAGATTGAAAAATGGTATTTCACACAGATGGCAATTTTTAAAATTTTTTATTTTATCATTTTTACATTTACTCATATACATTGTTTGGGCCACCACCCCCTTACCCCTCTCCCCTTTCAGCAGAACCTGTTCCACCTTTTGTTCTCCAATTTTGTTGTTGAAGAGAAAACATAAGAGATAATAAGAAAGACATAGCATTTTGCTAGTTTGAGATAAGGATAGCTATACAGAGAGATTCCTAGCATTGCTTCCATGCACATGTGTATTGCAACCCACATTGGTTCATCTCTACCAGACCTCTTTACTACTTTCCAGTCCCCTCAAATGGCAATTTTGAAATTTAAATTTAATTACAACCTGATAAAAAGCAAATGGAAATCAACTAATTGACTACCAAAAGTATTGTAGTGAGAAATTAATGACTTGAATAAAGCTTCACAGTTCATTAATTAAAACAGAAAATAGCTAGACCAGGTACTGAAAATAGAGCATTTATCCATACCTTACTTCACACACAAAAACTTCTCCATCAGATTACACAGTGATTTTAAAATGTCAACCCAAAAGGCTTTGCAGAACATTTTAAAGAGCCAGA